GAAAATGTATCTGCCAATGAGATCATATGCAAAAGTTGAGATTTAGACAACATGGAAAAGGTAAAACTTAATGTTGATGGGCATGCGCTAGTAGAAGATGATGAAAAACTATATCCTGATCGCATTGTGTGTTAGCATGGAAAAACCTTAGTGACATTTCTACAATGAAGCTAACTGGAATTTGCCAAAAAAAAAACATATCTATGAAATAAAACAAAATATCAATGTTCTGGTACCATTTAACAACGGAGGTCTTTTTAAAACTACAGAGCTCAACAATCAGTGTATTAGCACTTTTAATACTAAGTATACTGCAACACTAGTATACCAAATCTTATTATATTTTAGCATCAATTGCAGTGATAATACATTTAAATAGTTATGTTAACAACAGAGGCCTTTTTAAAATTGTTTTTCTTTGAGTTTTTGTGCCATTCAATAAAAACCTTTTTTTAAAAACTAAAAAAAAACCCACAACAGAGGCTACTTGAACCCAACCTTAACCCACCCAAAAAAGTGGAACCAAAGTCCCTTAAATATCATTTTCTCTATGATCATTATTATAAATACCTAAGCCTATGAATTAGCAACAAGTTTTTTTTTAATTAACTAGAACCTTAAACAACATACATGTCTCAAATTCGGGTCTAAGTAGCTCCGGATGATGGTACATATACATATATACATATATATGTATATGTACCATACATATACATATATATATATATATATATATATATATATATATATATATATATATATATATATATATATAAGGGATATTCTATACCGTTTTCAACAGCAACAACCAAATTCAGAAATTAAGGACCTTTTTTTTTTTAACAGCAAATATTTTTTTTCTTTGTGAAAAAATGCCTACAAAAACTAAAATTTGTTACGGTGCGGGGTGTACTGTCAACAAAATTATTTTCCTAAAATAGCCCCTGGTATATATATATATATATATATATATATATATATATATATATATATATATATATATATATATATATATATATATATATATATATATATATATATATATATATATATATATATATATATATATATATATATATATATATATATATATATATATATATATATATATATATATATATATATATATATATATTAGAGTGCCTCTAAAAACAACTCTTTTTGAAATTGTCTGCTACCACCCCCTAAATGGTTCTATGTAATAAATTAGCACTAAATTCAAATAATTTTTGAATAAAAAAAATTTTAGGGGTCACTCAAGACCCTAAAACATCAAACGGGTCCCTAATATTTTGAAAAAAAAAGTTTTTTAAAAGTATATCATGTTGGGTCTATAATGAAGTGAAATTTTAGAAGAATTTCAAAAATAATAATTTTTTATAAAGATTACTCGTTTAAATTTTATGGCTTAAAAACTATCATTTTTTAACAAAAAATAAAAAGTACATATTTTCAAAGTTTTTTTTTAAAATAAAATTTTTTAATATGTGTTTCCATAAATTGTTTTTGTTACTTTAAAACTTTTTAAAAAACTTCACTTCTTTTGAGACCCAACATTATATACTTTTGAAAAACTTTTTTTTTTTAAATGTTAGGGACGGTTTGATGATTAAGTCTTGAGCGAACCCTAAAATTTTTCTTTATTTAAAAATATTTTAAATTTGTATTAATTTATTACATAGAACACATTTAGGGGGTGGCAGCAGACAATTATATATATATATATATATATATATATATATATATATATATATATATATATATATATATATATATATATATATGTATATATATATATATATATATATATATATATATATATATATATATATATATATATATATATATGTATATATATATATATATATATATATATATATATATATATATATATATATATATATATATATATATCACAAAATAAATAGCACAATCTGTCAGGCCTAAGTCAAAACAATTAAATATAAAGATTTATAAAATTAATAACTTTCATGTAGATATATAACAGATATCTTTATCAAGATATATAACAAATAATTTGCTTATCCTCATCTAGAACTTTTAACTGATAATAAGTTCTGTGATTAAAACTCTGGATGATATTTGTTTTTACATTTTAAATAACAACTTCTAAATTTTAAAAAAGTATTTACTGCATGTTATACTGTAAACTATAATATATAAATATTACATATTATAGTTTATTAGTATTACTATTTATTTCTGCATATAAATACTCAATTATGCATCAAAGAAAAGGGGTATTAAAACAACTCAGCAAAAATATTAATACAAAAAAAAAAAAATAAAAAAATAAAAATAAAGGCAAATAATTCTGTCAGAATTAACTTTTATAAGAATTAAAATACAACAAGTATTCGAGAGAAAATAGCTAAAAATATTGAAAGATTTATTTATGATTCTGCAAAGTTTACAAAGTATATTTTTCAAACATAATATATACCTGCTACAAGTAAAACTTGCGCCTGCGTAATACGTCAAGCTAAATAAAAGCAATAAACAAAAAAAACAAAAAAATAAACAAAAAAAATATAAAAACACCTATTAATTTTATAATATTTATAAAAATACTACAATAAATAAACTGAATCTAAGCAACTGTGTTTTTTTGTTGCATTTTGTAAATATGACCATGAGTATAGTTCTTGTTGTTAATCACAAAGAACATTGAACAAACAAGATTGGGAAGAATTTTAAAAACATTTAACATTTGAAGGGATCCCGGGATACCGAAGGTAAAAAACCATCCCGTTATTCCATGAATCATAGTAATTTTTTAAAACATATTTTAAACATTTATAAAGATGTTAAAAATATTATTACTCAAAATTTGAGTTCTAATTACTTCCTTTTCCCTTTTGTAATGAATTTCTATAAAAATTAGGAATATATATACAGACCCGTAGGAACACAAATTATATTGGATGGGGGAGAGAGGGGGGTGCAATGTGGGATTAAGGGGCCCCAAATAGTTTTAAGGACCTTTTTATTTTCAGCCATTTTTCCAGCCAATTTTTCCAAAACTATTTATTTGAAAAATTATTAGAGAGAAGTGAGGTGGGGCAAATGCTCCTGCTGCACCCCGGTTGCTACGGGCCTGATATTATAGAGGGCAATTAAATCACCAATATTTTGCAGTTTTGGTTTGTGAATAAGATAGATAAAATATTATTATTTAATTTGATTTATAAATAGATTTGATTTACTTATCTAAATTTTATATGTTGTAACTTACAGCATATAAAGCTTAAATAAACAAACCAAATCAATTCATAAATCAAATTCAATAATAATAATTCATCTATCTTATACACAAACCAAAGCTGCTAAAAATTGGTGATTAATCTAATAAATAAAGTTACAATGAATAATAAAGGGGAGTCCTTAATATGTTAAATATAAAATAACCACCGTCAAGTTACAGTTACTTGTACATGCAAAAAAAGTAATTAGTTACCCATAAAAGTTGGTAGTTAGTAAGTAAAGTAATTAGTTACGTTAAGAAAGTAGTTAGTGTGTAAAAAGTAAAATAAGTGAAAAACTAAGTAAGTGAAGTTTAACATATACGTTTAGTAAATACAACTAATTTAAAAAAACTTAAATCTACTATCAGCACACTAGTTCGGGATGTAACTGTAGGTAACTTAAATCTACTATCAGCACACTAGTTCGGGATGTAATTGTAGTTTTATATTTATATTCAAGTATATTTTAATCTATTTAACTAATAGGATAATAAATATACTGCATCATGTCAAGTGGATATAAGGAATGGCAAAATTTTACAAAAGTAAAAAACACAGAATCTACCACTTGTAATATATGTAAAACAACAATAATCTGTAATGAATTTTCAATAAGTGGTCTTCGTAATTTAAAAATTCTTCACAAGGAAGTCGAAATTAAAGTAAAGAAAAAAAGGCCAAACGAAGACACAAATTTTAAAGTTAGAAATGCCTAACCTAAAATTACGTCATTTATAAACGTCATTTATTAATTACATTTGGGGAGTGATTTTATTATGGGTTGTTTTAATATGACAAAAAAAGATTTAAAAAAAGTAATAAATTCTCCTATGGAAGTACCTTTCTATCTTTTCCACACCCAGTCTTGTGAAAGAGTTGTTAAACAAGTGACTAAAGCAGCAGCTGCTGTTTGTGATTTTCAGAGACGTGATGTTTATTAGAGCAAGAATAGAGCACAGAGATGTTATTCTAAATCTGAAATCCAAGAAAAATTTAATCAAATTGCTTAGTTGATGTTCAAACTTGATTTTAAAGAAAATTTTATTTCCCATAAAAACATGTTGTTGTTTTATTTAACATTTTGTGTAATTATAATATATTTGGACAAATCCGACAAATCCGCCCACAGAATATTTTGATGTTTTACACAGTAGCGTAGCGACAAAAAATTGGCCCCGCAAAAATTTAATCCGGGCCCCTAAATTACTTCTTTTCTATTCCCTTCCCCCCCACCTTGCCTTTACCTTCCTTCTAGACAAATAAGTTATACATGAAAATAAAAAACTGTATTCTCAAACACAAACTAATGATATACGCATGTTATTTATTGTACTGACACTTTTTCTTTTAATTTTTTCTTTGTTGCCTTGGGCCCCTAATAACTCTGGGCCTCTCCGCGGCTGCGGGCCCTGCGGGCCCTTCGCTACGCTACTGGTTTTACATATAACAGTTTCAGGAAATTTACCTGCACATTTTAAACTTTAAGTAATACTTTTTTGGAGTTCAACACCCTCACTTATGAGGCCAAACAAACTCAAAAGCTTGAGAAACTTATTTTAGTGTTTTTATATTAAGAGTTCTTGGTGCCATTTTTTGCAAAACATTCTCATTTGACATAAGTTTAAAGATTTAAGTTTAGAGTTGAAAATGGCTGAAGATGTCATGTAAAACATTAAAAAAAACTTTTTTGGGTGGGTAAAATCTAATTCAAAACTCTAATTTTTACCTAATTTGCTTGGTTTTATAGTCCTGTAAAAAGTACTTTTTCAAATCAATAATGCATATATATATATATATATATATATATATATATATATATATATATATATATATATATATATATATATATATATATATATATACAGTGCCGGATTAAGGGGGTTATAGCCCCGGGCCCCACAAATTGGGGCCCCAATTCAAAGTAAAAGATTTTTTATAAACTCTGAAAATTAAGTCTTTTATTAACTTAAAAGAGCCAAAGTTAAATTTACTAAATTGTCTAAATGAAAAAAAAACAAAACACAAAAATAAAATAAATGTTAATAAAAACGTTACATTAAATTTTTTCATAAAATTCATTTTTCATGACACTCATTACAAACACTTTTTATTTTGTTATTAAGCCTTCTTACAATGATTCTTTTTTTCTTAGATTCTACACGAAGATACTGCTTTGTGGTCATTGCAATTAAAGGAAAACGAACGTATGAAGTATTTAAACAAGGGGTATGCTTTTTTTCAAAATAAAGATTCTAATTTCGAATCTTCGAAACGAATGTTCAAAAACCAGTAGAGATATTATTTGGTTAAATATTTCAAAAAGTGATGAATAATGGCAAAAAGTGTGCCCGAAAATGGTTGATGTTTTCTGAATCCACTGGATGTGTATTTTGTTATATTTGCAAATTGTTTTCAACCGATTACGACAATGTATTTGTCAAAAGTGGCTTATACAATTGGAAAAAAGCTGAACAAACTGTTTTTAACCACGAAAACAGCAAGAAACATATTCAATCTTTGATTAAGTGGATAGAATTCATAAAACAAAATACTCATATCGATGAATATATGGTAAGCCAGATTAAAAGCGAGATTAATTATTGGTCAACAATCTTTAATAGAATAGTAGCAATTATTCGTTTTTTAGCCTGAAGAGGTTTAGCATTTCGAGGTCATAATGAAGTTATTGGATCGTCAAATAACGGAAATTACTTAGGCGTGTTAAAACTGTTGACTTAATTTGATCCAGTTTTAAAGCAACACATTGACACTTTTGCAAATAAAGGCAAAGGTAATGTAGCTTATTTGTCTAAAACTATTTGTGAAGAGCTAATTGATATTATGTCTCAAAAGGTTTTAACGCATTATTAGCAAAATAAAAAAAGCAAAATACTAAGGAATTTTCGTAGATTCTACCCCTGATATTTCTCACGTGGATCAACTTTCTGTGATATTTCGTTATTATCTAAATGGCCACGTATATGAGCGATTTTTTGTTTGCTACAAATTAAAAGCCACGAAGGTAAATCTTTGATTACTGAGATTTTAGATCTACTGGAAAAATATGATATCGATATAAGCAATTGTCGTGGACAGGCATACAATAATGCAAGGAATATGTCTGGTAAATATTCTGGATTACAAGTACGTTTAAAATAGCGGAGTGAATTAGCTTTTTAATCCCCTGCGCTAAACATTCTTTAAACTTAGTAGGGCAGTGCAGTGTCAGTGAGTGCATCAATTTTATCAACTATTTTGGCGTTCTGCAGAGTTTTTATTCATTTTTTGTAGCTTTAACACACAGATGGAATTTATTGAGAGGAAAAAATTCTACACTCAAGCGTCTATCAAATACATGGTCATGTAGGTCAGATGCTTCAAAAAGTTTAGTAAAAAATTTTGATAGTATTCATGCAGTGTTATGTCTTATTGCTGAGGATACAGAAGAAAAGTCTGATACTTGTCATGAAGCTGTGTGTTTATTAAATAAGATCACTAAGCTAGGGTTTACATTCATGGCTTTACTTTGACATCACATACTTAAGCGGTTTGATGCAGTTAGCAAATTTCTTCAAAAAGTTGAATTAGATTTGCATACAGCAAGCAGTATTTTACTTTCACTAATTGACTTTGTAAAAAACTTACGAAACAAACTTACGACATTTGAGAATGAATCGATAAATCTAGCTCGTTCATCGAAAAAGACTATTCTGATAAGAACAAAAGAAAAATAATTAAGAAGTGATGCAACCACATAAGTTGTTTGGATTTTTGTCAAATCTTTTAACTATTAGTACCATGGAATTGCGCAAAAAAAGAGTTTTTTTTCTCATAAAAAAGATAAAGCTGAAACTGAAAACACATTGGTTCCTCTGCATGTTTTAGATTGGATTGTTGAAGCCGATATTATTGATGTATTTCCAAATGTATATATAGCATATTGTTTGTTTCTAACTATTCCAATAACAAATTGCTGAGAAAAGGCTGAGAGGTCATTCTCTACTCTTGAAAGAGTAAAGACAACAATGCTCCACAGTCATTTAAGTAATATTGCAAGATTAACTATTGAATCAAAATTGTTAGAAACTATGGATTTCAGCGATGTGATAGCTGAATTTGCGGAAAAGAAAAGCAGAAAAAAATCGCTAAACTTAATTCAACAGAACAAATACCTATAACTTAATTCAATAGAATATATAAATAGGCATAATGTTTTAACTTGTTCAAGAAAGTT